CTCTGAGCACACAAGCTGGGAACAAATCAGCCCCGGAGAACCGGGGAAGGGTCTTCTGAATGGGCCTGGGCAGCTGGCCGGGGAGGTGCAATGCTGTCTCCACCAGTCCAAAATAACCACACCAATTTGCACACGAATAAGCAAACACAAAACCCCGAAGCAAGGACATTCAAAACCGAAAGCAGCTGCTAATCACCTGTTTTAATTTTTTTTTCTTAAATTAGCTGCAACTAAGAATTTTCAAACTCTCAAGTACAATACACAGCTTAACATTTTCATACACCTGTAAAACCAGTAAGTTAAATCCCATTACAAAAGACTCCAACTTATAAAGGAGCAGTTCAAATACAGTTCTTATCAAACACAAACAATGGAAAATGATTTAGGCAGAGAACATCAGTCACTGGAAATTAACATTTGAAAAAAAAATTTTTACATAAAAACCATCTGTGTATTGAGCCGGTGCACTCCACTAAACCACAGGCCTAATTACGAAACTAGGAACCAAGGCAGTACATAGTAATGCATTAAGTTTTGTGTGTTTTCTTTTGGGGGGAGGGGGTATGAGGGTCTTGCTGAAATCTCATCAATACAGAATGTGTTGTCCTTTCTTCTCCGTACATCTAAAATGACTGACGTCTATGTCAAATTGCTAAGAGTGCTCATGGCTGGCAGACAAAACACAACTTGTCTTAATCTAGGGTGGTTCTCCTGGGCTGGCATCCTCATCCAAGGATATCTGCGTAAGAGTCCATCTGGGGCATAAAAGTACCAAGGAGATAAAAATGAAGAAGCACATCCTCTGAGAAAGAAAAGGCTGGTAGGTAGGGGTAGCAAGGTCCAGAATTAAATATGACATCTTTCTCCCAATCACTCTCTTTCCTGAGCAAAGGATTTTAAAAGGCCAATTAACGGCTATCATCTAAACGCCACTTTACATATTCCAAAGGACTCGGTGGATATCTCAGTCGATGTGCCCAGCAACTCCATGATGTGATGATAAGGACACTAAGTCTCAGAAAGGTTAAGTGGCATATCCGGGGTCACGGAGCAAGTTATTAAGAGGCAGACCAGAATGTGGAACCCAGCCAGGCCCCATCTGCTTCTGAAAACAGCATGGCCAGAACAAGGGAGGGGTGTGCCCCAGCCCTCGGAGTGGAAGAATCATGGGGCCCGGACAGTGCTGACCAAGAATGAGCATGTGATTGTGCTTCTTCGTCAGCCTGTGTTTGGAAGGTAAAGACACAGGTTTCATCTGAGCTTTGGCGGCATCCCCAACACAAAATCCGGAAGTAGAAAAGAAAGAGAACAATAAGGGAGACCCAAGGGCACAGGCCACTGGACGTGCATTGTTCTGTCTGTTCAGCACCTGCAAAACAGCCCAGCTCTCACCGTGCTACCAATGAGAGATGGGTCCAAGGGCTGGGTCTGTGACCTAAGCCAGGCCAATCAGGGAACTTCCCTGAAAGTGACATGCAGATGCTAAAAGAAAGTAGTCATGTTTCCACTGCAGCTGCCAAGCTAGGATGTGCCTCCAGGATCCTGACGGCCACCTTCTCCAACGCATGGAAAACATGTATGTGCAAAAGGAGTGAATGAGGCCAACCCACAGAAGGAGAGGGAGAGAGGAGGGACAGAGAGAGCCACGATGACATCATTTGAGCCCCTGGAACCAGCTGTGACAAAGCCAGGAAAACTCCTGGACTTCATAGTTATGTGGGCCAATACACTCCCTTTTTTCCTTGGGCTTGTTTCAGTTGGGTCATTTGAAACCAAAAGGATCCTGACTTCTGACACAGAAGACAATCTTAAAAATACACTGACCATAATAGACTCCACATACTTCAGACCATCTTTATTCTCAACATTCAGTCTTGTGGCCCCGTAAAACCACTTCCACTCTTGCCTTCTAGAGTCTACTCTCTGCTCAGCAGCCAGAGTGATTGTCTCCAATAGTTCATCATGGTAGCATCATTCTCTGGTTCCAATCCTTCCAACCATGTCCCGTTGTGAGAGTTTTTTCTGGGCCCCAAGGTCCCTCCTATCTGCCCCTGCCTCCCTCTTCAGACCCCCTCCTGCCCCTGCCCCATCATACACACTCTGCCCCCCGCCACGCTGCACTTCCTACTGGCTCACACTCACCAGCTTGCTCCTGCCTCAAGACAATGCATCTGCCATTGCCTCACCCATTTGGTGACCATTCCTGAGTCCAGATCTCTACCCAATTATCACCTCCTAAAAAGGCATCCCTCAAACACCTCTCGCTGAATCACTTCTTAACAATAGCCACCACCACCAGGAATCGTATCTTATACACATCCAGTTAGAATGTGAGCTCTCCCAGGGCAAAAAGTGACCATCTTGTTCACTTCTGTATCCCTAACTTAGCCTAGGGTCTCTGCCACTATCTATTGCATAAACAAAATTCCAGTATCACAGCACCCCAACAATACTTCCCAGCCACTCGGGGCGCAGCATGGAATCCTGGACCGGACCTTTCCATGGGCTGAGGCTTTCTACCCCAAAACCAAGACCACCAGAGTTATGCTATTGATCAGGGCTTGGCAAACTACAGCCTGCAGGTTGTATCTCGTCTACCATCTGTTTTTATATGACCTGCAAACTAAGAATGGTTTTTACAGATGAACATCTGAAATTGATTTGATGATAGAAAACAGTAACTTTGAACTCCAATTCAAAATGCTATCCCCTCCCAGAAAAATAATATCCATTCTTCTCATCAGCACACTGGTATTGCAAAAAACCGTACTTAGTCACTGTTATTATATTTTGAATTTCACCAGTGAAAAATCTTCGTAAATTTGTTTTCTCTCTTGTTATGCAAGTATCTACATGATATCCTCAGTATGGCCTCTTGGCCCTCAAAGCCTAAAATATTAATATTTACTCTCTGGCTCCTTTACCAAAAGCAAAAAAAAAAAAAGGGAAAGAGTTTGCTGACCGCTGCTACAGACTTACTATTCATTAAGGAGGGGAAAGGGGACTTAACAGGCCAGTCCAACCACAGCACCATCCGGGACTAATTGTTAAGGAGGAAACAACAGAACCAGGTCATAAGTTGCTCTTAATGTCCTGGGACTCAGGGAAAAAAATAATAATCAGAAGTAAGTCTTCAATCTACTGGAAGCTCTTAAATTCAAAGACCCTCCAGAGGAAATAGTTAGGCAAATGCCCCCACAGGAGAAATGAAATCCCTAGTGTGACCCTCCATCTCTACCCACTCCCTAAACAGCTAACTAAGGAAATAACAGTTTATGTATGATTCACCTAGAATCTCTTAAGGGCTCCTCTAGTGTGAACTGAGCATCAGGGCAGCACGGGTCCACCGGGACGCAGAGGCCCTGAGTACAACCCCAAGAAGACCCAGGAGCACTTTGGATCCACGTCAAATCCATCAAACCTCCATGCAGTGTGCAGGACACAGCCACGCCTGCTCCAACCCCACCCACAGTTGGCCCAAGGATGGTTCAAAGAGGAGCAGCAGGCACAGGTTAAAACCCCACCCCCCACCCTGGCCAGTGCAAATCCAACAACGGTCTGGGGAGACGCAGCAGCCCGGACCCTCCTTGAGTTGCCAGAATACTAAGGGAATGAAACGGGCCCTTCTCTGGAAGACAGCACATTTTCGGGAGCTATCTGGGGAAAGATGGGCCAGCGGGCTGTTGATATTCGAATCATCATTAAATGACTCAACTTTCCAGAAATAAAAGGCGTCACAGTGGGAAATTCTCCATCTTGACTTTTCTCTCTGGCCTCAGCAGTATAAAGCTGCAGAGCAAAGAGCCAATTAATTTTTAAGCATTTCTTTAAAATTACAAGAGTCACCCTCACCCAGTCCAGTCATTACTAATTTCCTGCTTTCCACACCCTGATCCTTCACGCCGCCCTGCGAAATTGCTAAGTGCCCAGCAGGGGCTGGAGCAGCCACAGGAGACTAGGAGCAGCCCCTCTGGCCAGAGCAAACCGGTAGCCCTCGGGACCCCATCCAAGCTAAATCCACACAGACCAAGAAGCGACCAAGAAGCCTGAACACATGAAACCGCTCCTTCAGGACCTAAAACCCAGTGCAGGCACAGCCTTCCACGATAACAGCTATTTAGGGGTTAGCCAACACTTATCCCCTGACTCCACCTTTGTCTCTCGTCCAGCGTCCCTCAATATCTCCTCCTAAAATCACAGACCCACGTGAGTCTGGAATAGCAAGACACACAGAGCTGCCCGGGGGGAGGGCCGACCAGACGGGCTCCCTCTAGGAACAAGGGTTTCGCCCGCCATCACCTGAGTGCCTCTTCAATGGCCCTCCTTCTCTTTTCCACCAAAGTCCTAGAGTCCCAGTTTCTCCCTTACTTCCTCTCTGACACGAGAAGAGCAAATACAGAATCCTCTACCGAGACTTCTAAGTTTCCAGAAATCAAAGGAATAAATAGGAAGGGTGGCCACGTATCGCTCCACTTGGGAAAAATACCAAACTGGCCCTAGGTCCCAAAAGAGAGATGGTGGCCCAAGACTGCACACACGGGCAAACCTCAGAGGGCAGCGCATTAAAGAAGCAGCCATCTGGGTTCAGGACTTAACGCCCAGATCCGTTTACCTGACACGTGCTTGCTGAGAGCCTACTATGTGCGGGCACCGTGCCAGCGACACAGGAGCAAACAAAAGCAGTAAGAAATGCCTAGCTTCCTGGGACTCGCATTCAGGTGCCTCCTGCACCTTACGGATTTGCAAGAGGTATATATACCAGGCGTGAGAAGACAGGACCGCATCATGCCTTTCCTCACACAACGTATCTTCTAGTTCAGTTACTGTCTCACTCATCCACCCACTCATTCATTCATTCACTCATCCATCCATTCACTCATTCCATCGGCAAGTATATGCTGTGCACAAATCTTGGATCAGGCACTGAACTAAGTCAGTGGGGGCTCTAGAATTTACATAGAGAAGGTGCTTAGGGGCAGCAGCTTAAATGGTGTACTTACCTGTGGGTCTCGGAAGTACCGATGGAGAACAGGGAGGCACGAGAGCCCCAGTCCCAGCACCCCACACGATGGGCTCTGGGAACACGAGAGTGAGTGAGATGTGGCCGGTACCGTCCTGAGATCACACTCCCACGGGAGAACGTGTGTGTGTGTGCTGGTTACTCCCTGACCCTCCAGAACCATCCTCCGCTCTTCCCCTCCCTGCTCATGCCTTGCAAGACCGACCTCTGCGGAACAGTCTCCTGGGCTCCCTCACTCTCCAGCTTCCAGCTAGGGTTGGCAATGGAAGACACCACCAGGAGGTGGGAAGAAAGGGAAGTTAGGGTGGTGACAGCCCCAGTCCCTGCCTGCCAGACCGCACCCCCTCTTGCCACAGCGCCAGCCAGGAACCCCTCGGCTGAATTCCAGTAAGGGCCCACTAAGACCCCGCTTAGCACTAGCCCTGGCTGCCTCATCATTCCTTGCTGAGCCTTAACTCTGTCTACGCCTCTGTGAACGGTCCCCTCGTTCAGTCTTTTCAGGTCCTCCCTCCCATGAAGCACCTGTTTCCCGCAGAGCCCCTGGCTGATAGGATATGGCCATACCACCCTGAACGTGCCGCGCCGGTCTCATCTGATCTCAGAAGCTAAACAGGGGGGGCTGGTTAGTACTTGGATGGGAGAAGTCTAAGAAGTGTCGAGGGAACGGCAGAGAGAAGCTCAAAGACCAGGTGACGCTGAAGCCAAACAAACAAGATGGAGGCGTGAGCATTCCAGAACATTCCAGAACGTTCCAGGCCACGGAGCCCCCAACCCGCAAGGGCACGGAAGCTCCAGCAGCCGGTGAGCAGGGGACTGCCACTGCGCACAGAGTGGCGAGGTGTGAGAGGAGGCGTGACAATGCTTGAGAGGAGGGAGGGACACGCGGCGGCGCGCCTCACAGGCAAGGCGAAGGCGTCTGGACGAGATCCTGCAGCAACGGGCAGTCTCCAAGGGCCGGTCACATGGTGAGTCCGTCCAGCACTCCGTGTGTTTCCAGACATGGCCCTTCCCTGGACAAACTGGAAACTGGCGCTCGTTTAGGACAAATAAACATAATCCCTAAAACAGCTATTCCAGAGCACTGTGTCTGGACTCTAAGGCAAGAAAATAAAAGCTATCAGACCATGAAATATGGTTCATAGTAATGTCCTTCTATGAACGAACACACACACACACGCACACACATATACATCTACCTCTGGCACTGTTAACAACAGGCTTTGGAGCATTAACAACGTCAGGTGAAAACACACCAGTCATTAACAACGGATTTTGAAAAGATTACAACCTAAATAACTATCATTGGAACACGTGAGTTACTTAATACAAAGTGGTTCCATATGGTTCATTTATAATTCACATGGCATCAGTCAGCAAGAATCCATTCAGATGACATCTATGAGAGCCACTAGATAGGCATTAATTCTTCCAAAAGAGCAGCCAACGAGGATGTATTCAAGAGATTCTCAGGTACTACTGGATTCTAGAATATTCTTGGATTAAAAAATTATTTCTTGGTTTCCCACCCTTCCTTTGGGTATATATATTTTCCTGGAACTGGCTTTAAAAAGCTTCAAGGAGAATAATTTTTGAAGTTCATCTGCTTAATACACTCTCCATGACCAGGGTTAACTCCCTTCTGTTGTTCCTGGCTGTAACCAGACCATCAGCTCACCTGTGCACCAACCTGGCTAATGTAATCAAACGGATAAAAGGTGACCTACTCATCTAGTCAAGTATTTATAGCATTGCTATTCGCCCCATGGTACTCGGGCATAAATGTATACAATTCACGCTTCAAGTAGATCATTCGGGCAATTCATTTTTCCTCTTTTTTTCTTCTTCCCCCAGTACCTATACAGTGGACACATTTGTTGACCGTTTTCTCTTATTTCTTTAATCAATGTCAGGATCATTCATTCATAAATTTTAATTAAAAGATTTAACTGTTCCTCCCCAACTGTGCCAAATGGGGAACCTTTGTGTTTCCTGTGCTCTTTCCAGGAGTTGTCATTCTCCAGGTCTCTCCCCTACCCAGCTCCAATGAGCTCAGGGGCGCAAACGCACACAACCCTGAGTGTCCCCAGACTGCAGGGTCAGGAGTCAAGCAGCACTGACCACCAAAAGGGAGAGGCAGGTGGGTAGCAGGAGAGAGAAGGGCTCAGAGAAGAGTCTGGATCCCTCACCCCAGGCCTCCACCCCCGGGACAGAGGAAGAGAGCGGTCAGCTAGGAACCACGACAGACAGCTAGCCTGAAACTGCTCTCACTTCAGAAACTTCAGGAAGACTTCTCTGTGCCCCCAAATGTCTCCTTCGCCTGCTGGCCAGGACTTGATGCCTCTGAACCAGAGATAAAGCTTTGCAGTCCATAACTTGAGATTAAAGGCTTACAGACAGCACCTGGGAGAGTTGCTGCAAAGCAGCATAAACAATATCAGATCTTTCCTAACTCAGATAAGAGCAGAAAGCTAAGAGGCTGGAACACCCTGAGACGGGGGTGGTGTGACTGTGGGAAAGAGGGACACCAACTTAACCATGTTACCATTTCCCCACCACAGGTCGTCCATCTTCCAGGGGTACAAAAGTGACCTGACCGCTGAGATACTGAGTCTGAGCAGTGGCCTCTAGTCCGAGGGGGCAGCCTTGGTCGCCATCACTCCCCGCCCACCTCCTGCAACTCCCATCTCAGCCCTCGAGTCCAACCATCCTCATATCTGCTGCCATAGGTATATCCAACTGAGTCATATCACATGCAACTTGGACCATTATTAGCAAAGTACCAAAGCATGCGAAGAACCCAGCATTTAAGAAGGTAGACCAGATGCTAGAGTCTCTCTACAACACTGTCACCTTCTCCCTCTCCTGCTGCAATGTGTGCATGTGTGCATCCCTGAGTGGGCGAGAAAGGGCTGGACGTGTGGACAGCACGAGGGAAGTGTGCTCACACCTGTGCAAGTGAACTGTGAGCTCCGGGAGACAGGACCAGATGCACTTACCTTGTTCACTGCCGTGTCCTCGTAGCCAGGCCAGCACCTGGCAGAGGGCACCACCCCTGAATGTTGGTTCAGGGAATAAAAGAAGGAAGAAGGACTGAGATATAAGGAAAATCCAATGTCCTGAAGAAGACTGAAGGATCGCTCAGGTGACTTGAGGAGGCATTGATAACATCAATTCAAGCTAATTCCACCAAGACAGGTGGGGAAGCTACAGACAAGTCTACCCTGACAGGAGAGAAACCCACACGGAACCCCACTGCTCTGCCTCCAGCGGGTGCTGTGTGCAAAAGACCCGGGCGTGGCCTCACTGAACATCCTAGTCACAATCGTGCAGATAGAACCACTGCACTAAAAGAGCCATTGGTTTCAACACACACCTCACCAATGGGAAAAGCAAGAGAGAGGAGCGTGCATCTGTACCACGGTAACGCCTACACTCGGGGTTTGCACACACGGGGACAGGGCCGGGAAGCAATGAGGCCCCCGGGCAGGATGGTGGGTGGATGTGTTCCTTTTCTTTGCTTACAATTTAAAAGTGCTGCTATAATGTTGTGTTCATTATTTTAAAATAATGGTGAAGAGCATTTTTAGAGAGCTATTTGGGAATACAGGTCTCATCATTCAAACTGTGATAGGATGATACACTGTGGAGTGCTCTGTTAATTCCCACTGCTTTTCTAGAATGCGAGACCAGAACACACTGCACCCTCATTATCCATGGCAATGTGAGAACAAGTGGGACGGGCCAGGACCGCCACAACTCATTTCCAGGAACAATGGTGAACAAGAGTATTAGCTAATGGCGGCTTAATTAGGAGTCGCTATAGTAAAATGCGGGCAAATTTTCTATGTGGAACTCCATGTCAAAGATATAAGCATAACTGGGATGTGCTTGATATGGCTAAGCTGAAGTCCTGAATCTTTAAGGTATTATCTTAAAGACAACCAGAGCAAATTTAAAGTGCACACATATGCACAAACATACTAATATGTATGTTCAGTATTACTCTTATACTCTGTTTAAATTCTGTTATAAATAGGTCACTTTGTCAAATGTGCTATTAATGACTTAAACAATAAAAAACAGGAAGACTATTTCTGGTCTTAGCATTGAACTCATCAAGTTTGCATTACAGTTATTCATATTTTCATTTTATCCCCCCATAAGACACAGCTCATTCTCAAATACCCTGAGAGACCCAGCCCTAGTTTATTGCATATAATAATCAATGGGTTAGATCAATGAATTCAATAGGTTTACATTTTCATTAAGAAAAAATAAGACCCCCCAAAAATGTGTTGTTATTTACATGTTTCGAGTCCTGTTAAAAATAAATGTTAGAAGTTACTTTACTGTTAAACTTTTTACACTTCATAAGGTTGTAATTTTTATGTAACTCTCAAAAAACTACAAGTGGGCAAGTAATAGTGGTTTCTCATTTACCGTAGTGATGTAAAATATTCTTACAAAATGTTCTTAGGGACATACAGTGAATCGATAAAACAAAAGAATTGAGTAAGTAATAATACACGAGGCATGACAATATGGTAGAAATCACAAAGGTATAACGTTTGGGGGACAGGGACCTAACCTTTCTCATCTCTCACCTTTAACCTTCATCTTTTTCCTTTCTCCTCCAACTACCAACTATTTATATATTTCAAAAAAATAAAGCACAACTGTCAGAACCAAGGAGACCAGACTACTAAATGGAAAGTGGTGTCCTACATGGGATCCCAGAATAGAAAAAGAATAGGAAGGAAAAACTGGGAAAATCAGAATAAAGTTAAGGACCTTAATTTTTTACAAATAATAAGATGCCCAGGCCATGCTATCTTGTATATAAGAAGGGGAAATAAGAAAATACACATATATCTGTAGACAGAGCAGAAAACAATGAAGCTGGTCACCTCTCAGGGGCAGGAGGGATATGATGTGGGAACAGCGCTTCTCTCGGCAACTTTTAAACACACATTGGTGTCCCACACGTTAAATAAAATTAAATTAACAAGGATGGGAAGGGAAGAGGAAGCAAACCATAACCACAGAGATGGGGACAGGGCACAGAGGGGAGAGCTAATGCAAGTGCCTTGTGAGCACAGTGGTGGGCGATACACTCCGGTCTCCGCTGGGATAGGTGGGATGGGGGGATGGGAGAGAGCTGAGAACAGGCCCTGACCTCTTTGAAACAGGCGAGTCTCCTGCAGTGCAGTGGGCAAGCCATGCGGTTCTGTTGGGGACGGACTGCAGGACTGGGCAAACTAGTGAATGTGATGATGCTGGGAGCCAGGTTCCCACTGTGGAACAAAGCCCCCCCCCAAAACATGGAATGGGGGGAGGGGTGCAGAAAGGACCCAGTGCAGATGCAATGCAATCAGAGGCACGGTGTGAACTCATTATTTCTAAACTGTGTGTGTGTGTGTGTGTGTGTATTAGGCATGTCTATGTCCATAAGCCTCTGTGTGTATCTATGTGTATGTATGTATATTTTTTACACTCATGTGTTTCCTAGATCCCTCCACTGAGATGGCCTAGATGCAAACACACCTCAGTAACAGTGGGCAAAGATGCTCTTGTAACACTCATAGCTTGGTCTTGAATCCATTCCCAGCTAAAAGAAACCAGCTCCTTGGAGAAATGACCAACTCCACATATGGGGCAGAGTGGATGTGAGATGAGCTCGGAACATCTTGTTATGCCAGAAAGTAGAGAAGTGCTTTAAAACACTTGGGTGGGAGGAGGTATGTTGTAAGGAATCAGAATGAAGGGCCTCCCAGTGGCCAAATTTAGGACAATTTGGGTACCAAAATTATTAAGTACAGTAAAGATAATAAGCCTTTGAGATACTAGGACTCCATGAACTCATATCTGCAATAAGGAGATTTAAAATTAAAGGGGGAAGAGGAAGGGCATTTGCTTAACAGTAGATGCCAAATGGTGACCACGGAGGGAGTTCAGAAGTTGGACAACCACGTTGTAACCATCACAGTAAAGACTAAAGGCCAGAATCATGAGCAAATGCTCGCTCTCAGTGGAAATTCTGATGAGGAACATGATCTCAAACTGTCTCCCCACAGAGTGCTTAGCAGCTGCAAGAGAAAGCACAACAACTGTACAGTGGAGAAATCAAACACCACCTTGACCAGGTGATCAAAAGAGAGGCAGATGGACACCAAGTGCCTCCAGCTGCAATACCTCGAGAAGGACACAAAGCCACTTACGTCATCTTCTGGCCAGGAATGCATAACTTGAATCTAGTCATGAGGAAATACTAGACAAGAATTTTCTACTGGGAAAAGCAAGGAGGATGACATTCTCTACACACAGCAATGGCATGAAAGTTAAACAAAGGCTGAGGAAATATTCCAGGGTAAGGCAGAAGAAAGAGACATGAAAAAAAACTCAATGTCGTACCTGATCCGCCATTATATCCTGTACTTGCGGGAAGAAGAATTCTATGAAGGACATAGTGGGGCAACTGACAGAACCGGAATACAGATGGTAGATTACATAAAAGTGCCGTATCAATGTTCCATCTCTGAAGCTCCTAACTGTCCTGTAGTTAGCGGAGGGAATATCCCCGTGCTCAGGAACACGGATGTATTTAGGAGTAAAGCATCACGACGCATGCAAATATTCCCAAATGACTCAGGGGGAAAGCAAGACTATATAGAGACAAAGGGATCAACTGACTGAGCAAAGGGGGTAAAACAAAGGATATAAGTGAGTGGAGGATATATGTGTGTTCTTTGTACATCGTATCCTTAAAAACATTCCTGTGTTAAATTATTTCCAAATAAAGGTAGAAAGGAAAAGGGACAGAAGGAAATGGGATGATCTGGTAGATAAAGCTGGAGACAACTCCTACTGGCTCAGTCCTCTGCTCCTCTCAACGCCCTCCCGCGTCCTAAGCAGGGCTCCATTGCCTCATCTGTAAAGTGGGTCAAGAGGGCTTAACCCTGACCCACCTCACAGGTTTTGCAGAAAGATAAAGTAACAAACAAACACACAAAGACAGTAAAGTTGGTATGGATCACATTTTCTTATGGAAGTCATCGTGACCCTTATCTCTTTCCTATCTGGCATCAAATGTTGCAAGATAACATTGAACTTGTGCAAAGTCGGGTGACCTTGAAACAGGAATCAAGGTCACAGAACCCTTTAACTGGTTATTAGTAAATAAATACGTGCTTAAGCACAATCCCCAAAGCCATCAATGTATTCCAGAATCATTTCAAAATATTTGTGTATGAATTATAATGGCAAAAGACCAGGTGATACAGTAAAATTAAAAAAAAAAAAGTCTGTTGTTTGGAGTGATGTGACTATAACTTGTTCTGTCCTTCTATTTTTCAAAGTTTATGTAGCGGTAGTATACCTTCTAATGGTTAAAGGTAGTTTTGTGGTCACTGAAACATTACTGGAAGTCTTCAAAAATTCACTTAATTTTCACAAAACTACATCATTTTCAACTTCATGTCCTGGCTGAAATGCCACTGATTAGTGACTAGACTAGAAGTCGAATTGCCGGCCACTGGACGTTTCTACTGAACTTTGCCCTCCAAGGCCCCTGGAAGACAATATCCACAGACCAACCCCAAGATTTGGAGAAAGATCCACATCTCAGGGGTGGCCCCGCAGGGCATCCAACCAGGAAGGTAAAAACAGTTTCAACACCGCCTCTTCCTGCCCATCCTCCTGCTGATGTGGGGATGGGATGTCCCCGTCCCAAAGAGGTGTTTTGCCAACATCCCTCAGATCCACATCAAATATAATTTTCAAACCAATTAGCTCAAAAAGCATCACAACCAAAGCAATATCTCCCACATTCTCATTACGGGGGCCATCCTATTCAATTCCTAATGAGAAGAGAGACAAAGGCAGTAGATGCAATAGGGTCTACTTCAAAAATTCTTTTTCTTTTAGAAAACAGATCCTCTTTTGTTCTGGTTAAACACCAATTACTCTGCTCTCTCTAACATGCAAATCAGCCAAAAATAGGGCAATACCAGTAGCTCACTTCTAGGGAAGTTTGAATGAAGAAAAGAGAAAGAGGACAAGGAGGGAGAGGGAGAAGGGTGAAAAGAGAGGGGAGAGGGAGCAAAGAAAGGGAGAGAGAAAGAAGGAGAGAAGAGAAAAGATGAGATAGAGGCAAATCCCTGGGGGTCTTCAATTCCAAGTACTTTGTGCTCAGATAAAGCTCTTTTCAAAGGGTTTTTTTGTATTATCTGTGGCGGTGCCCACAAGCGGTGATTTTGCCATTATCCAAAAAAATAAATAAATAAAGCAAGAAAAGAAAAAGCACATTAAGGTGCACAATATAAGCAAGAAAAGCAAAAGTAGCCAACGAAGCTATTATATTTTACCCACAGCTCCCACTTGCTACAAACGCCCCCCCCCCAAAAAAAGTAACGTTCTCAGCATAAGGTACCAGGGAAAGGGGATGGAGAAAGGGGGAAGGCTCACTCCGGCAGACAAGACAACGGGAACCTCGGGGTACACAGGGCTTCCTGGCCTTCGTGGTGACGGTCTCCAGCCAGGTGTGCTGTGAGCACCAGCATGGAAGCAGACGGCTCCGTCTCCCAACAGCCACTGCGCGGTGCTTGGTTTGGGTTTTTGACACTTCAGTTAGCTGAACTCACTTCCATCTTCTAAATACGTTATCATGCTTTTTGTGCTGAGCAGGTGGGTGGGTAGAAGGGTACATCCCAGCTCCTCTCGGCTCCACGGGAAGGAAAGGCAGCGCTCAGATCTCCGCGTGCAAACGCACAGCCAAGCGCTGGAGACGACGCAGACGGGGACCCCGAAGTCTGGGTGCCGTCCCAGCTTCTGCATTTCCAACACGCTCCCAGGTGACGCTCCAGCCACGCTGACCCGCCAGCGTCACCTTCCCGGCTTCTTCCTCTGGTTTCTGTGTCCTTCCAGACTCCGTCCCGACATGACCTCCTTCCCTGGCCCGCCCAGTGGGGAGCCTTCTAAGAGGGCTGGGAAAGGGCCCCGCAGCTCCCTCCCACCGGGCCTGCACCTGAATCCCCTGCCATGCACCCCCACTTGAGCACACTGGGACCCACATGGATACTGGGGGAGTAATGTCAATCCTGGGGCAGAGAGGAGGCGGCACCCCTGCCCCGGCTCCCTCCAGGTGCAACGGCGAGGGCCTCAAGCCAAGGAGGAGCAGCAAGAAGATTTGGAACAGTGACCAGAGACTGGGCTGCCCTGCTGGCAGACCCAGATTGTCGGGCACGTCGGAAATCGGCAGAGGGTGCTCAACCTCCAAGGCCCAATTCCATGCCCGCACCAGAGTCAGAGCACAAGGACTCCACCTCCACCCCAACGAAGACCCAAATGTCTACGTGGCAACACTCGCCAGGGCACGTTCCTCTCCGGGAAGCAGTTTCCCACCACCCACCCCCTACCCCAGACTGCAGGCCGTTGGGGAGACTTCTGGGGTGAAATGACCTAGCCATAAGGAGGGGGATCCCTCCCCTCCCCCTTTCTGGTCCTGCCCTCCTTACAATCAGGGCCACCAGGCAGGGCATCACTGCCCCTCTGTTGTCCACACCCCACTCCTTGTCCATGGAGAACAAAAGAAAGGAACGAACACTGTTAGTGCCAGCGCTCGCTCCATTACATTTTGTCTCCTTTTAGCCTCCAAAGAGCCCTGCAGCATTGACACTGTACTTCCACCTTGCAGAAGGGGAAACGGAGGCCCTGGGAGGTGAGCCTTTGGTGGTGTTGGCAAGTTACGGCACAGTGGTTAAGGCAACGCTACGCAGTGGCTGGTAGGAGGTGGATCTGGAGGCAGACTGCACAGGTTTGCATAGTGGTCCGTCACTTACTATCTGAGCCTCTTTTAGCCTAGTAAAATGGGGTAAGAACGATCCCTTTCCCAAAGGGTTGTCATGAGGAATAAATGAAACATCATGGAGTTAAGGTGAGCCAGCCCATGGCAAATGGTCAAGAAATGTTAGTGTTATCACTCAAGGTCAACAAGTGAGGAATGAACCCACACTTGACCCACAAACTGGCCCAATGGGCTGGGTTCCAACACCCTGGTTGCCCAGTTTCTGCCCACGACTGTAACATGGTTGATTACATTCCTGGTCACCAAAGAACTCTTGCAGGAACTGAGGGGACAAGGGACATGGAGGGGACAAGAGACAATGGGGGATCCATCTCAGCTGGGAAACTGCTTTTCAACAGACCATGGCCGAGAACACGCTGAGCACCGACCATGGGAAGCTGGAGAAGTTTCCAGGAGTCATGAGATCCAAGGTCCTCAACTGGCCGTGGAGACCCACCTATTGGTAGCACACAGCAGTGGCCCCGCCAGTGACTCAGCACAGGAAGGCAACGGTTCTCTCCTCCACACCTGCATGAGCCACCTTTCCTTGAGGAAAAGAGGGACGTCCCGGCATCATGGTGGGGTGTAAAGGGACAGGCTGAGACACCTGAGGAGCCGGGGACACTGAACTCAACCCCTCGGCCCCACAGACGGTGCAGCGAGTCCACATGAGCACACAGCACAGGGAGCGCGGGCAGAGCACACCAGACCTGCCAGCGCTCCGACCGGGACAGAACCAACCACACCAGTGGAGAAGGCTGGTTGGTGTCCACCAAACGGAAGTGTGCGTGCCTGATGGAACACCAGGAGAACTAGCTGGCTTTTGAGACGACCCTGAATCAATCCGCGAGACAATGATCTAAAAATGCCGACCCCCGGAGGCTGCCCAAAGCCAAGCCCCTGCCCGGGGGAGCCCGCCGCGCCCGCCGCCTGCCTTTCCCCCAGCTCCTATGTGATGGACAGTTCTAAAGAACACCCTATAATCTGCATTTGTGCCATTTGTCTCTTTGATACATAAAATACAGATATTTGCATCATTTATTTTAACGCGCGTGATTTTCTTCTGAAAGCCACAAAGAGAAAGAAAGTCTGAGGACAGGGGAGGCCCACCCCTCCCCTGTCTTCTTCCTTAGAAGCCCGAGAACTTCAGGCTGGCACCCCTGACAAGCCAAACTCATCTGGAAAGGATCTTCAGAGGCCAGTTGCATTAAAGCAACAAAAAAAAAAGGACTTTCCTTGCAAAGGAGACAAGGAAGACAAAGGGGCGCTAAGGGGAGGGTCCCTTCACCATTTCGGCAGCTCAAGGAGGGGACGGTGGGGGGGGGGGACAGTCCCAGCCTGGGCCGCTCATGCGCTTATCTGCTTTGTGGTAGAACGCAGTTATGTGCCCTGAAACCACAGCCTCAAATAAAAAGCCATAAAGGGGCCACGATGAGGAAGAGAGGTTTCAGTTCCAATAAGACGGAGAGACCTTCAGGCAGGGACGGCTTGCGGGTCAGGGAACGCACGCCAGCCCATTCCCCCGGGCAGAGGCCTGGCTGTGAGTTACGCAGCCTTCAGGGTCCCCAAGCCACTGGGAGCAACAAGTCTGTGCGGGGCCTGCCAAGCCACTTGCTCTTTATTTATGCTCTCCTGGACACCTGAACAGAAATACGGGCATGGGACAGCCACGCACCCCGTATTTCACTGCCAACAAACTCCAGAGGCACTACCAACAGCCGGCGTGGCGCGCACAACTTCCCCGCCTTTCCCATGGGCCTCCTCCGTTTGCTGAATGACAGTGGCGCCCGCTCTGCGCGCCAGGCCTCGTGGACGGCACACTGCACACACGCTGTCGCCGGTCTCCCAGGCCCCTGCAGGTGGCTGTCAGCATCCCCACTTGTCACAGGAGGGACACAGCTGGGAAGGAAGACCCGGAGCCTGGGTCTCACCCAGCTGCTCCCGACACCAGCATCCTTGTTCGGCACCTTATCTGTGCCTCACTGCCATGGCCTCTGGTCCAGGTAGTCCCTTTTTCTTTGACCTTTTTCTTTCCTCAATTACCCAGCACTTATTTACTTATTTACAAACACAGCATGAACGACACAGGTAAGGGCCTTCCTCTCGTGACGTCAACCTTCACGGGAGGTGGCTAAGAGGATAAAAATAAACAAAAATGTGTGCCACCGGTCATGAGTTCATAAACGCAGACCTATGCTTCCTCATCAGCAAGAAGGCGGCAAGACAGGCTCTAATTCCCCCCCTCAATTCTTGTATGTCCCCAATTTGTCCTCCTAGCAAAGTATGGCACAGTAGTAACAAAGGCAGTGGACGGTTACAGGATGCTTCTCACCTGTGACTCCTGAAATCCTTCAAGGAAAGGGCTCTTCCTTTAGTTCCCTCCCATTCCCACCACAAGGGGTGTCTTGGAAAGACGAATCTCCTCCTATCTCCCATCAGGTCCCCAGATCTAACAATACCCCAAACCCCCAGGGTGGGGTTAGCCTTGGCACCTTTTCCGGCACCAATGTGGGGACTCAGTTGCATCCGCTGTGCTCCTGACTCTCTTCGGCCCAATCAGAGCTTCCCGGGGCCACCTCCACCCCGCCCGGCTAGTAGCTTTCCAATGGGACGGCCGTCTCATCTAATGAGCGTACCTCCCTGACCACCCTCCTAACTTAAACATCATCTCTTAAAAGGCCTCTTAAGGACGATGCCCCCAGCAAACATGCAAATCCCACAGTTCCAAAGCAGTAAGTGTGGAAGAACGTCAGAAAGACTGATACAGAAGAAATCAGGATCTTTAACAGAATAATACAGCTTGCAAACTATGAAAGATTTGTATAGGCATCATCTCATTTAATCCTCACAACTATAAGGTACATAATATGACCCACAAGTTACAGATAAGGAAACCGAGGCTCAGAGTGGCAATGCCGAGGCTCAAATCCAGGTCCTCTAACTTGAAGCTGCATCCTCCTTGCTCTCTACCTTGGCTATCTTGTAAGGTGTGAAATTAAATCCTTACACATCTTGTCCTGGTAGTAAGGTATATTTAAAACATATCTATATTTTACATTGAGATGATGGAATGTTATATAAAGATTAAAAATCATGTTGTAGCCAGATGTGGTAGCTCACGTCTGTAACCCTAGCACTTTGGGAGGCTGAGGCAGGAGGATCACTCAAGGTCAGAAGTGCGAGACTACACTACTAAAAATTGAAAAATTAGCCAGGTGTTGTGGTGCACACCTGTAGTCCCAGCTACTCAGGAGGCTGAGGCAGGAGGACTGATTGAGCCCAAGAGTTTGAAGTTGCAGTGAGCTATGATAACGCCACTGCACTCTAGCCGGGCAACAGAGCAAGACTCTGTCTCAAAAAGAAAAAAAAACATATCATGTATTCACAACCATCTAATGACATGTGAAAATTATTACTAAATACTATTAAGTTAAAACACCAAATACAAACAAAAACACACTCTGACGCAGACACGCATCTACCACAGAATAATTCCAATTCTATTTTCAAATATATATGCCCACAAAAATGATGATACAGCAAAACATTCATTTTTTTTTTTTTTTTTGCACCTTTCTGTATGTTTTGACTCTTCTGTAAGGAGTAGGCATTCATTTTCTCATTTAGAAAAAAATATGAACAACCTTTACTTCTGAAAAGAAAGAAGCCACTGTTCGGGCTTGGCAAGAGACCAATTCACGATGTGAAGTAGGAGCCCCTGACCCAAGTCACCGCCCAGCCGAGGACTCGGCCGTGGTGCCAGCAGCACCAGCGCTGTTGCCAAGGTGGCAAACACAACAGGAACAGCCGCCGGGGATCCTTGCCGCCCCTGAGCGCCACGGCGCGCCACTGTCACAGAGGCAAGAGCCCTCCCAGGGGAGAGAGCCTCAGCCACCAGGGCTGGAGGCGGGGGAAGGCAAGTGGAGAGCATGGGGTAAGGACTGGGCGCCAGACAGAAAATGAGCCTCAAAGACAAGAAGATGATTTTCAGGCCTGAGTTCAGGCCGGGCGCGGTGGCTCACGCCTGTAATCCTAGCACTCTGGGAGGCCGAGGCGGGCGGATTGCTCAAGGTCAGGAGTTCAAAACCAGCCTGAGCGAGACCCCGTCTCTACCATAAAAATAGAAAGAAATTAATTGGCCAACTAATATATATATAAAAATCAGCCGGGCATGGTGGCTCGTGCCTGTAGTCCCAGCTACTCGGGAGGCTGAGGCAGGAGGATTGCTTGAGCCCAGGAGTTTGAGGTTGCTGTGAGCTAGGCCGATGCCACGGCACTCGCTCTAGCCTAGGCAAGCGAGACTCTGTCTCAAAAAAAAAAAAAAAAAGAAGATGATTTTGAAGCTGTCATCATTAGCAGGGACCACACCAGTGCCATCAGACACCTGAAGTGAAACCTAATGACCCCGAAGCAGACCCTGGGGTTAATCCTAGATCGCAGCATTAGAAAAACTTGTGAGCAACCCTGTGGGGCCCTGGGAAAGAACACGAGGATGCAGTCAGTCTTATCAGGGACGGTGTCCTGGTCTAACCGCCGACTTCT